TACATATAAATCTTGATAAAATATTTTATTAATATTGTACCGCGCTAATTTTATAAACACGCACCTAATGACCCCAACAATATGTTATTTTCTCTATTTTGAATACAGCATCATCACCATGCTAGTAATGTCCCCACTGTTGGGGCTCAGGATGAAATCGAATCGAATAGGAAGGTTGGACCATGACCCATTGTGGATTGGTGGGTATTAACGATTGCAGATGCAGCCGGGACCAACGGCTTAACGTGCCTTCCTAAACACGGAGGAATTCGAAATATATTTTTGTTTTGTTTACCCATCCTAGGACTGGCAATTGCGAATGTTGCTTAACAACGGTATCGCAGACCGAGCGGGCTATCCACTGCGCCATCGAGCTTATCTACAGCATATTAGACTATATTTCTTAGGTCAAAAACAATTAAATGTAAAATATGTTTAGTTTACACGACCTGTATTTTGATCACCTATTCTATTAATAAATAAATTCCGCTAAAAGTTTGCTGCTAAACATTAGGAACTGTACTTTCTCATTACGTTATATCTCGTATATACAACACTTTTTATTTGTCAATCGGCATAGTATGGAACAAATTATTAACGATTATATTTTATCCGTAACAAATACGTTTTTACTTTTCTTTTTTCCACGAGTTCAATGCTTCACTTCGTGTTGGCCTTTAAAATAAAAGACACATTGTCACATTGTCTCTTTTTTCTTCGTTTGACAATAATTGTTCAAATACATCTAGAGGGCGTTCCCTTATAAATATCTTCCTTTCAAATAAAAAAAAAATACTTTCGATGTTTGCAGCCTATGTTTCGATGTTTGCATATATAATTTATTACATCGTTGATAAGTTTAAGATCAATGAAAACGATTTTTTTAATTCATTTGTTGTTTTACTTTATTAATATATATGAAGTTACGACACTGTCTGAATGTTCCCCGGGCCATGTACGATTGTACCCCTTAATAGGGGTAGATTAGGACATTTCATTAAATTCAATCCTTTGATATATTATATAAGATATCGACTTTGAACTTTTTAAATAAAGAGCAGAAAGTATGCTTTATGTTTTAATAAGTAATTGATGTAATATATATCTTTGATTATCAATATTTTAAAAATCATTGACTAAAAAGTGTACGAATGGTCCCAATCTTCCCCTATGTATATTTTTTTTGCCTCCAAATCACATGTGAACTATGCCTAAATAATTAACAGCACACGCAGCGTAGCTAATAATAGAATGCGCTACGTTTTTATGATTATTTTCAATTTTATCGAACCATATGCGATATCCATCTGTTGCTTTATATTGATCATAAGGCAAATGTTACTCCAGACTGCGAGGCTACAACTAGCTCATTAGTTAATAATAAATTTATCTATTTTACACCAATAACCAATATAATAAGAACGCGCACTAATAATTTAAATAAAACTAAAATAATTTGCAACTGATGGTAGTCAGGAATAAAAATAAACAAACAATAAATAAAATGATTCAAATATTTTGTAATAAAATTTTAATCAATACAAACGTTTCCATATAATTAAAAATCATTTTTAATGGATGCGTCCAAGAAGCCTTCAGGCTTCTCATGCTTTAGTGGTGTAGTGAACGTGCAACCTGAAAAGGATCGAAACATCTGAAAAATGTAATCTTAACATATTTATTTATTTTATCCTAAATATATATACATTATATACATCTTTTTTAGAAAAACTCTGTAGTTAGAACAGTCGCACGGATTGAGAAAGGTCAAGGGTTCGAGTCCCATCTCAGAATACCAAGGACAATGTGGATTTTTAAGCATTTTTTATTAAGAATACGTATTTTATTTTGTTTCAATTTGTCAAGAAATAGCTTAAATAATAGGTATTAAAGTTGAAGAGAAAGAGGCCCGCTATGTCACACACAACTTTATTAAAAACTAGCTGTTTTCCCGCGACTTCGCATTCGTAAATTATAGCCTATGTCAACTCCGTATAATGTAGCTACCCGTAGGTGAAAAAAAATGTTTTATCAGTCCAGTAGTCGAGAAGCCTATGCAAACACAAATAAATATTTTTTCCTCTTTATAATATTATTAATATAGATGTACAAAACAAACAAAAGACATCGTCCCGATTATTTATTGGTAAATATTTTGTCTCCAATTACCCATCTAGCTCATTTATCAGAGATATGATGATAATGGTAGTACTACTATACGTAGGCGTATCTGGTCTTTGTACAATAAGAGCGTACTTGATCCTACGCGAAGTGCCTCTTGACCCTCGAATGGAAGATTATTGACTGCAGCATTAGGTTTTTGAAAACACCTTGAAAAATTGGGGTTAATTGAAAAGTATACTGTGTCATTTTCGAGCTTATGTAATATATTGTAACACTAGTATTGACCTCTGTAGACGCTGGTTACAAAGTTTCGTTGTTTCTGAAGTAGCAGGATTAATTCCCAGTAAGATCTCTATGAAAATTTATTCATACATACATACATAAATTTCTTTACTGTCTTTATTTCAGATTCCAATCCGTACAATGTATATGATGTTGTCTCATCATCATCATCATCAGGTGAAGGACCCTCCACTCTGGCCCAATACGGATTGGAAGGTATTAACGACTGCAAAATGCAGCTGGTACCAATGGCTTATCATGCCCTCCGAAGCAAGGAGTAACTGGAAATAACAATTTTTTGGTCATCCATCCCATGACCGACCCTTGAGAAAGTTGCTCAACAGCAACGATTGTGGACTGAGGCGCTTAACCACTAGTCTATAAAGCTACTCTTATTGTTATCTAACATCTATTATAAAAAAATTAAAAGGCAATATAAAATATTTTGAGAAAAGGACCAGTGTCGCCCGACCTTATACACTCGTGCTGCATCAAAGCCTTTTGAGCACCCAAAGAGAAATTTAATCTCATTAAAGATAAGAGCTTTTCTCGAAGTAACACTGTTATAACCTCTGTTGCCTATTTTTAGACGTTTACGTTTCATATTTTTAAGATAACTATTATAAGTATTATGCGCAGTTTTTTTTGCCGACATTGTTGTCTAACTTGTGAAATGGTGCACATTCTATATAATCTTATTTAATACTTACGATACGATTGATACCGATAATACATTTGTAAGTTAGAATAACAAGATACGATCATATTTAGAATAAAGATAAAAGACAGATAAAGTTGGAGCGATAATCATATTTATTTATAAGAAGGTTGTATATTATTTATTATCTACTTTAATATTTTAAGTTTTTTATAAATTATGTGAAGATTACATCAACTTTTTAGGAAGAACATCGTAACCGCCATTTTGAGTATTTTACACGAGAAGATTTTTTTATAGCATTAACATCATCATTTTGCAAATTTTACTAAATGCTGTACAAACGATTACCAATTGATGGATATATTAAGTTTTAAATCTAAAAGTAGAAATAAAAATAAGTTTTAGTTTTTTTAAGAGATACCACAACAGTCAAAATGAAACAGAGTCAGAAATCCCAAAAACATATTTACTTTTAATCAAGAGACCCTCACAGTTTAAAAAATAAGTATAGGCACTTGTCTAGAATTAAAAATTACAGATTTTCTCTCAGAGTGCCAGGGATAAAGTGGATTTTTAAGCATTATTCATTTGGCGATTTTACTTATTTCAAATATGTAGATATAATACATAACATAACTAAACATGAAAAAAAATTCACTGGGATTAATTAGTCTTGCAATCGTCATACATACATAAATAATATGTCGTACACTTTCATCTGTCAACATCAATAGAACTAGAACTTTGATTTTCTAAATATTCGTAACGTAAATCTACTCGTATCTATCAACTTCACAACAAGGGTTTTTAACGGGTAATTAATTTTTAAATTTAAAACACGGTTAAATTTGTCTGAGATGCCTCACTTGTAACTTATAAGTGCACTATGAAAGATTAACTACATTAAAATATAGGAATTAAACAGTTTTCATTCAGAACACAAATGTAAGTAATCTAACTATTAGTACAAAAACCTTGTTTTTGGAATTTTGGCGCTTACGATGTTTTTCCTAAAAAGGCTCGATATCACTCTTTTAAGCTATAGGGGGTTTAGAGGAACTTATTCGATTACGATAAGGCACTTCCAATTTAACGGGATTTTCAACTTTGCGAATAAATTTTCTTTTATTTTTCCCGAAATAAAAATATGGGAATAGTCCATAGAACAGTATAATCATTGCAGTATAAGCAATTCGTTCCAGTTGTTTAGTCTTAATTGAACTTGAATTTTTATGAGCCGCATATTTGGATGGGACTCAGAGTCAATTTGAAAACGAAGTTCTTTCCATGAAATGTCATTCCAAGAGAAAAATATACTTAGTGTACCTATTCCTTTGGTTATATGACCTTTTCATTTTGGTCGTATAACAAATGAAATTAAAACCAAATTTATCTTAAACCCTGAACTCATTCCACTATGTTAGATAAAAAAAAATGATAAATTGGACAAACAACTTAAAACACTACTAATATATTTTAATTAGTCTCATATTAAATAAATTAACTACGATATCTTAAAAGAAATAAGATTTAAAAAATACATTAATAGAGTTATCAAAAGAATAGAAAACGTCACCTGCTTTTGAACCGAAAAAATAGTAAAAGTTGAAACCCAGATTTTATGATGTGCTTTGATGAAGGTGTTAGACTGAGAGTAGTCAAGACACGCCGGTGTCTATCCTGAGGTTCCAGGTTCGATTCCCAGTCAGGTCAGTGTAGGAAATGAACTTTTGTCTTTTTGGTCTGGATGCTGTGTTAGAATCATTGTTTAAGGTTACCTTACAAGTTCTTTAACTACTTAATTTAGAATCTGAGCAATGTATGTGATGTTGTCTAACATTCATTTTTTCTTAAATATAAAAAGAACTTATCAACTTTTGCCAAGTCCACCTATATCTTATTCTTGTTATATAAATTCTTTATTTCTTTTCAGGTCACGACGATCGTCTGGAGCAGCCACCGCTGTTACACCACAACCAAAGAATTTAAATCCAGGAGGTGAGAACTTTTAATACAGTTTTACCTTTGCAATTTTTCGCCATTATTCAACAGAACTAAATAGAATAGTTATTTATTCTTTAAGAGGAATAAGGTCCTGAATACATAAAAGAGAGTGCATTGAAAACTATACGAGTTAAATATTAAATACTTATTAAATAGTCGAGGGATATATTTATATTCTTAAAATATGAATCCACCAATCCACACTTGTCTTATGGTTGGTCGGTAGGCTATCTATCTACGGCCCGTTCTACCTACTTAATTCCATAGGGAATGCATGTATCCCAGAAGTAGGTAGATACATAAATAGGATAACATATACGAGATAACAAAGCAATTGTGTTCAAATTCATAGTTTTACCGTCGATCACTAGATGGCGATATGTCAAATTGCATGGCGCTATTGTTTTGTTTCGACTAGTACTTATAGGTGGAATAAGTTTTATAAATTTTAAGTGACGATAATAGTATTATGGAATATGGATACGTCATGATTCAGGAATTATAATACATTGGTTAGTACTGCAATTGAAAGATTTTCATGCTGTATTTTTACGGACATATGGGGAATAATATATTAAATATGCGTACAATATTATCTGTTTTTGAAGTTAGGTATAATGAACAACTTTTGCCACTGTTACTTTAGTAGGTTTGTTGTAATAAAAAATTTAAAGAGTGAAACGTCGTTATTTTACATAATTTGAATGATGTTTTGCCTTGCTTATACTTTAAAAGTAGCATTCAATAAAATTAGTCTTTATAGAGCATAACCGCTTATATTAAAAAACCGGGTATAACCCACCATGCAGGTGTGTTATTCTAACGTCTCTCATCATACGATATGGCGCTCAACAAAATCATGGACAGAATATACAATTCCGATTATTTTACTCACAAATCTATGAATACGGTGGGTGTTAGCCAAATTCACAGTTATATTAAAAGTTTGCATAGCATACTACATACGGGTATATATCTTATAGAGATTATTGGAAACGATTGTTTATATCAATTATCATCATCACTAACCTATTAATAACCCTACTGCTGAGACACAGGCCTTCACAATACATGGAATCGAATAGGGAGAATAGGCCATCACCCACGCGGCCCTAGTGTGGATTTTTGGGTATCAACGACTGCAAATGCAGCCGGAACGTACGGAGTACGGAGGAGCTCGAAATAAAAAATATATTGGTCACCCATGCCATGATCAGCCCTCGCGAAAGCTTAACGCCTCACAGTCGTATTATATTCAAGACTATTAAAACTACTGACCGTCAATCAATATGGATATCTATCATTAGTCTATGAGAACACAGCGCAAGGTCACTAGCAATACTCAAAACAGTAAACAAAAGTTTAATCAGCTCCCGCCATAACGGGGATTACTCACACGTTACGTATATTGTTTACTTTTTTATCTAACTCGATTAGTTTCCTGTGATGATATCCCATCGTTTCGCGGAATGTATCTCCGTCGTACAGGTATTTAATACGACGAATCGCACATGTATGATCGAGCTGTTGATAATTTTAGTATCGTCAAAATCTAACAGGAAAAGATATTCAAACCAATCTACAAAATACAATGAGTACCTACATCCGAAATGTATGTTTACGTTATTCGTAATATGCTCCTACAATCATTGATATTGAAGGAAAAAATACATGAAAAATTGGATGTAGGTACGCAATATCATCGCGCTTCAATCGTCACCTTTTTGTTAATTTTACCTAAACCGAACGTAGGTAATCATGTAACTGTGCACTACTTACCCCACGCCGAGTCCAAAACTACAATGCTATCTATTAAAGATACAGCGTTTAACGATGTCACAGTATTACAGGTTCAATCAAATTAAACCTACTCCAAAAGATAATTAAGGTTTAATTTCATTGAAGCTCTAACGGCGCTATTTGAGACGCTGCTTACGATGTTGTATTAAGAATTCCAAAGCTTGCCATAAAAGTCAAACATTTATTATGTAGCATCTCTAAGTAGGACAAATTAATTCAAACGATGAATTACCTTTTTTTATTATATGGAAAATGCTTTGAGCATACCCCGTGGTGACGTGGTAGTCCCCTATGTGGGTATCCTGTACATAGTGAACAGATTTGGGGTTTTTCTAGGAATTAAACACTTAACTATGAACCTTCAGTTGAGATCTTTTTAATAAATTGTTTAAACTCTTAAATTTAGGTCAGAAAGTTTATAAAAATAGTATTTTTACTAAAGAAGTAACCTTTGTTTGCCTCTACGGTATTTTAGTGTTCCTTCTATAAAATTAAAAATGTTTTCGACACTTTATACGGTAGAATATTAAAAACAAATGTACCTGGTGGTTTTCTTAAAACAGTATTGATCCGTTCGTCATTTCCTGTTCGTGTCGGATCCCCAATCTTCACTCGAGCATCCTTTCAGCGTACTTAAAATGGTAGCATTGAAAATCCAATAATGACGAGGGAGCTGTGTTGGCCATTTCACTTAAAAAGCACGACCTTAAAAGTTAAGAAAATAATATATTTTATATCTGTTGAATTTAATTTGTTTATATACTGACGAACATGACTTTCAGATGTGTATATAAATCAAATTGTTATATCTTATAGAATGCTATAGCATTCTATAGAAAAATACATTTATAAAAATATATATACGTCATGTTTTCCCGTACATAGAATGTCCACCCTGAAAAACGAAATACTATAATCGGATTATATAGGAATCAGTCCATCGTTTGATTTGAATTAAAAATATCGAGAGTTTTTTTCTGAATAAACAAATCTAAATGTTCGGGGCATGGTCTGCTAAACGTGTATATTTTTGAGAGTAAACCCTCTGGCTCTGTTTTTTTTGCAAAAATTGTGTACACAAAATAAAACCTATGTTAGCTTATGACATAAAGCCAATCACAAAATGATGGAAAATGAAACTTTACTTCTTTCGAGATACTTTTTAAGTTTCCCGCGACTTTGCTTGTGTAAATTATAGCACTTCAATATGGGAAAAAGTGGGTGTGAATTTCTATTGAAGGCATCCGTTAAATTAAAATTTGAATTGCACTTTAATATCACACATACCCGAGTGCAGTTTCAATCAATGATGTCACGTGCAGCTGAAGTACAATTTTGCTGGCAATTCAAACGTCGGTCGTCTATTCAAATTAACATGCACAATATTTGTTTTTATTTTTTTCAAAATGATCATCAATTCCTTAAACGAATAAAACAAACTCCGTGGCCAACTGGTTCACACGCCGGGTTCAATGTGTCACTATCTCTGAGATCCCGGTTTCTTTTCTCGATCGGGTCTCGTTATTTCGGGTCTGAATGTTGTACCTTCGTTGTCTTAGATACTCCATAATATTGGGTTGGCACAAAAGTAATGAGACACACTAGAAAAATCTATAACATTTCCTTTTTAAAATCAATTTTTTCGATAATATTCTAGAATGTTGTAGAACATTCTAGGTACTTCTGGTGTAGGGTATATAAAGCCGCGCTCGCGATTTGTTTAGTCAGTTTGAAGAAAAATGGACGAGCGACAAGTTCGAACACTATACTTATACGAGTACTTGTTAGGCCACAGTGCGCGGGCTGCGGCTGACAATATCAACAATGCATTAGGCGCTGGAAGTACAAGCCATGCGACGGTGTCCCGATGGTTTGACCGTTTTAAATCAGGAGACAGGAGCCTTGAAAGTCAGCCACGCTCAGGGTGACCACCCGCAGTGAATGATGACGATTTGCGCCGCGAACTGCAGTTGAATCCGGATGCTACCACTCGTGAATTAGCGGAAGCACTTAAATGCAGTCACCACGCCGTGGAACACCATCTGCATGAGCTTGGTTATCGAAAAGTTTTGGCTCGGTGGGTACCGCACATCCTTACAGACGCCAGTCGTGCAGTCCGTGTCGCTATCTGTCAGTCACTTTTGCTGCGACCCCGACGTAAAGAGTTTTTGTCAGATCTGGTTACTGGAGATGAATCATGGATTTATTACGAGAACGATACACGTCGTGCTTTTTGGCTGCCTCGAGAAGAAACGCCACCAACTCAACCGAAGCCGAGTCAAAAGAACCGCCGAAAAATTCTGCTTTGCTGTTTCTGGGATGCGCAAGGCATACTGTTTTATGAGCTATTACACAATGAAACTATAAACGCTGACAAATATTCAACCCAGCTTACCAAATTATCTGCCGCTATCAAGAAAAAACGACGAAGACGAGTCAATGTAGTTTTACTGCACGATAACGCTCGACCTCACGTCGCATCTGTGGTTCGCCGGCAGTTGGAGAACTTGGGCTGGGAGACGATACCCCACCCACCTTATTCCCCAGACCTCGCCCCATCAGACTATCATTTGTTTAGAGCCCTGAAACAGCATTTGCGGGGTAAACAATTTAATGATTTCTCTGACGTAGAGGCGGAGTTGAACAACTTTTTCGAGGCACAGCCATCAGAGTTCTGGGCAAAAGGCATCCAAACTTTGCCGGATCGTTGGCAAGAAGTCATAGATACTAATGGTAATTACATCATTGACTAAACTTTTTTTATTGTAATAATAATAAAAAAGTAAAAATTTAAACCAAGTGTCTCATTACTTTTGTGCCAACCCGATACATATAAGGGCTTTAGATACGTATGTGATGTTGTCATATATTTGTAAATTTTTCTTGACAGTAAAAATTAAATAAATCTTTCATAACTCAGTTTAGATTTGATTTTGTTGGTTTTTTTCGAAAGAAAAATGTTTGTATATAATTCGACATTTATGTCGTTTTTCCTAGTCATTTTTTCCGTCCATCCGAAACATTTTTTATTGACGTGACGAAAATAATTGTGCGAAAACGTAAGCAACTCTCAATGACGCTTTGGAAGCTCCTTAATCCCATTAATACGAGACCCAATATTAGCATAATAAATAACTGCCCAGTGAAATATACCTTTTTACTGTACAAAGCTCGGAATACCAATTCAATTTGAC